ACGGCTGGTAAACAATCGGATCAATGACTGTCTTTTTGTCCATAAATCTGTTGGGATCGAAACGGTTCGGCTCTGACCAGTACTCCGGGTCTCTATGCAACTGAACGGTCGGCACACGTATGTCAACGCCCTTTGGGATAACGATATTCTTGTACTTATAGTCATTCTTCGACATACGGCTCGTGAAGATGGTGTCCGTCGGGTAGAGACGGAACGTCTCGCTGATCACGGCGTCCAATATCGGCAACTCTGACATCACATTGAATGCAAATTTACCGTCTTTTTCGTGCAAATCATTCACTTCTTCGTAACACTTCTGTTGAATATCGGGATTATTGACCAAATTATGGATCGCAAAGCCAATCAGATTGGCCGGACTCTCGTACGCGGCCTCGTGTAAGACAACAGTGTTGGCGATGATCTCCACGTCGTTCAGTGTTTTATCAGTATTTTTGTTGGTGTTATTGCGGACATCGATCATCATTTCCAGCAAATCCTTGCGGGAATTCTCGTAGGCTTTCAGCTTATTGTTGTTATTGTCGACCAATTTCATGCTCTTGTTGTTTATCAAGTCTAGTCTATTCTTGACAATGGCTTCGCCCGCCTTCCACAGCATGCCATGACTGGTATAACCAAAATAATCCCAAAGAGTTTCGCATATGTCTCGGATTACGTTAATAATGGGCGTCAGTTCCGGGAAACACAGCAACAGTGAGGCCAAGAACTGGCGATTCGGACGGATATTGAATACACCGCGAGTGGCCTCGAAGAAGGGGTTATTCTGCGGCAGTCGGTCCTGAATGTCGGTCGTTATACTGAAACCGGTTCTGTCGATGATGTCAATGGTCGCCGCCTCCACTCTCTCGTAGATATTGAACTCTTCGTCCTTCGCGGCCAATGAGTCCAACTTTTTGACCATATCGTCGACACATAGATTGATGACCGGAGTGTTGGCCTTCAGATGCATTGAACTGAACCACGGGCTCAATAGTGTACGCATTTTCTTCCATCGCAATGAGTCCACACGTGTCACCTAATGGTTAACATTATGGTAAATAATATGTTAAAATATGTTTCAAAACAATTTGTTTATTTAATATTGTCTACAAATGATGTTTTGCTTACCATTTCATGATATTTCCAGTTGTGGTAAATACCGCCGGGTATGACATACGGGCGTTGTGTGAAGTGCTGGAAGTCTTTCACTTGAATCAGTTTC